AAAAAAAAAAAAAAAAAAAAAAAAAAAAGTTCCATGTTTGTGCAACACAGGATCCCAACACCAATGTGTAACTGAATGAGAGAATCACTCAGCACCTTTCATCTGTGGGATACTTTGTAATAGCAGGAAGTCACGTATACGTGGTCACAGCAATGTGAGGTTTGGACCCACATAGACAGAGAAGAGCCACATAATCATTTTGAAAAGTTGAGAGTAAGTTTATTATAAAAATGCAGTAGTTATGAGCATAGTCAAATAATATATTACCACATAACAAGACAAGGGACAGCACCAAAGATGAAAGAGGAAGGGTCTTGCATGAGACGGAGTCATTGGCAGGCAAGAGAGAAAACAATGCACCGCATTCAGTTTCCCTGATCCTTAAGTAATGTGTTCAGACAAAAGTGACTTGGCGCCCTCAGACCTGCATGGCTACAAGTATCATTCCCAGCCTCTGTCAGACTCTGGATGTGATTGGTCCTTTGGGTGTTAACAGTTATCTGTATGCACTCTTTTCTCAGGAGCTAGTCAGCTTCCCTGCAAAAAAGCAAGTGGCCAAGGTCACTTCCGTGAACACACACATTCCAGATGACTATTATCCCTTTAATCCTTTCCTTAACATACTGCACGGATTGTAAGCTTTTCCTTGTTATTTTGTTCCAAAAGGATGAAAATTTTATGACATAAGCTGCTAGTTGTAGGACAGAAGTAAAGTATGTCTTTGATTTATAGCTACAGTTGTCTAACCGCATATGGAAATATTAAATTAGCCTTGATTATCAAGTGTCCTGTGCTACACTTTATTCTAAATCATTGTATCTCACCCTCAATGGAACTAATATTTGTCTCTCATTGTTGTTCTTGTTAGTTTTATTATTTTTGGTTTATTTACAGTACTGGGGATTGAACCCAGGGCTTTGCACTAAGATACTTTCCCAGCAATTTTTATGGTGAGACAAAGTCTTGCTGATTTGCCCAGACTGAGCTCAAGCTTTTGATTCTCCTGCCTCAGTCTCCGGAGTAGCTGAGATTACTGGCATTCATTGCCACACCTGACTAGGTGGACTCCTTGAGCTGGATACGCCTTTGCCCAGGGGAATGCTATCATTGTGATGTAGGAAATCTACTACACCCTTGGTCTGCATAGCTCAGTGCCATTAGCACACTGCCCTCCCCAGACTGTGAAAACCAAAAATGTTTCTAGACATTGATGACTGTCTTGGGTGGTACAATCACCCTTGACTGAAAACTGTAGTCCTAACAAAGGGGGATACATATAATTTCTGTCCTGAAATCATTCCAGGATTAAAGGCGCAATAAGCCACTTGTATGATGTGACACAAAATTGCATGAGTTGTTTAGATGATTCCCTAGCAGAGAGAAAAGTGGGAATGATTTACAAACACTGGAGAAATTGAAACTCTTCCAACTTAGCACTTGATCAAAATAAGCCCGGGAGGCCCCACAGCAAGGCACATGTCCTCAGAGGTACATGCTCCTGTTACTGGATGGGGTGGGAACAGCAGAGGTTTGCAGGTTCTTATTTTCCCAATCAATAAATTGGTCAGGGCAACTGGTGAATGTGAGTGATTACTGTTTATTTTAGGGAAGAAACAAGAAAAAAGAAAATAAAATGGAGAAGCAGCACAAAAGAAGTGCTCAGGGAGAAAGGGGTGCTTTGAAATAGAGAGATGATACATCCTGCATGCAGAACGGACCCCTGCAAGAGCAACAGGGCAGTGGCCCTGAAGTCAGTCACCGCCAACCTTTTATGTCTTTCTTGGTAGTTGATCCAGGAGGTCCCACTCAATCTCTTATTAAAAGGTTACTACTGGGTGCAGGGCTCAGCTTGGTCCCGCATCAGGTTCAGGTGATGTCGTTCTGGGTGGCACAAATGGGACATCATGCCCACATGTTCCAGCCACGACACTATACCATACCATAGCCCCTTGCTACTTTACTCCATCTGAATGCCTCAGGAAGAAGAGTCGGCGTGGATGTCACAGATCAGGGAAATCAGGTGAAATAGCGGTGAGAGTCAATCTCCAGGTGACTTAATCATTCAATGAACTTATAATGCCCATGTCATGCAGGACTCTACTTTATCCTTCTTGTCCCCGCCTCTGTGGATGGGGACATCTTCAGGCAGCCATCGAGGCTGTAGTTCAGGAGAGGACACTAGGCAGACCCACACTCGTGCCAATGCTAATGAGTCATGTTCTTCTTCCTCCAATGGGAAAAGGAAAGTGTTGAAAATCTTCTCCCACTTTACATCCTGCAGGCTGGAAAGTGGAATGGTTCCCACCTTGGGATTATGGAGCCAAGAACTCTCAAAGGTGCACTTACTTTAACCCTCAAGTTAATCAAACTTCTCTCATGCACCTGTGTCCCCCACTGCAAATGTGGGTCACCTGCCTCTATGCCCTTGGGATAGCTGGCACGGGGTGGGGGGCTCAGATCTGAGCTTTTGCTGCATTCTAACATTCACTCCTTCATTCAGTGTATTTACGTGGTGGATTTGGTAAGGAGACCCAAACTCCCTTGCATGAGGGTTTTTGTGCCAGAAGAAGAGAAGTATCACAAAGTGACTTTGAAAAAAGTCTTTGTTTTCTGGCTCTCCTAAACAGCCAGCATCATTTCACCAGCATTTAGTCCATTCATCTCTGTCCGCTCCAGAATGACCGTGGTATCTGCGGCCTGGCCCTTGGGTGTTCTCCGCTTGGGGTGGGCACCTCAATATTGCAAAAGAGATCGCCAACTCGGAGTAGTGGAGGAAGGAAAGGTTCACATCTGGAGCTTGGAATAAGAACATGGCCTTTCTGCACTGACAGGAAAATGGAGAAGGAACAGAGCACTAGTTCTGATCAACCCTACTGACCCATGTGCTGCCTGTCTTTAGGATTCTAGCATCTTGTGGGGCCGCTGGAATCTCGGGCAGCCCAGTGTAGCTTTTGTTAGGAGCAGTGTGTGGACCAAAGGCAAATGTTCTGCAGGAGGTTGTCGCACATAGAACCCATCTTCTGGCTTGGGGATGCCAGGGAGTGAAGACAAAACTTCACGGGGCTGAGGGTGTATCATGTGACTTTCATCACCTTTCTCTTTGGAGAGCACACGGAGCACACTGGAGGCACAGCCCTGGGGGATAGCAGGTGGCAGAAGAGGCATCCAGGGAAGTGCTGCCTGCGACTGCTCAGCGGACACCCCATCCACCCCAGGAAGCCGCCAAGACCTCAGGGCCACCTCTCCCTGCTGAGATACCACCACGTCCATCAGAGCAGTGCTGGTGAGAGGGTGAAGTACGGAAGCCACATGGACATCAGCATGGAGAATCTTCGAACCCCAGAGGAGAAATTCCATTTGACCCCACTAGTCCCTTTCTAGGTATCTTCCCCAAAGAACTAAAGAAGTCAGATTACAGCACAACTCATAATAGCTGAATCTTGGATCGATAGATGAATGGATAAAAAAAAGTGAAATTTATATGCAAGGAAGTTCTACTTTACAAAAAAAAGGATAAATTTGAGTCACTTGCAGAAAAACGAATGCACCTTGAGACCACAATATTAGGTGGAGTAAATGAGTCACAGCTTAAATATCACATGGTTTCTCTTATAGGAAGAGCAAAATAAAAGATAGGTAGTAGGAAACAGAGAGATAGATCTTTTGCAAAGGGGAAGGGGACCAACAGATGAAGGGAGGGGAGATGAGGGGACAGAAAAAGAATGAAATGTTACGTACGTGTACCCACTCTCCACGATGAATGTAATCATTATATACTAGAAACATGCACTAAAAGATTAAAATGTGAAAGGAAAAAAAGAGTTGTGACGTTAGCCGCAATCTTGCCCTAAGCATTTTAATGATCAATAAAACAAAGCCTGCAAAGAAAAACTGATCCCACACAAAGTCCTTTGGGGCCCCTTAGGCAGTTTGTAGTGAGAAGGACACATCCGAGAATTTCTGGCTCCAGGGTGAAAAACTTGCCTCTCTGGCTTCACCTGTCCATCAGCGGCTCACAGCAGTGACAGTTTCACATGGACAAATGGCTTGGAACAGATGGAGCAAGCCCC